TGTATAGTTTTTAGCTATCAGCTTCATAAGCGATTTACATCTTGAGTCTATTCTTGTCTGAATTTGTTCATACGTGTTTATCTGTGCCTGAATGCACAAAACTGGACATTTTTATTGATCAAGACCAGACACACAACGTAGAATTGCTTTATATAGTTTATTGGCCTTCATTTTTGTAATTTGAGCCATGTTCAAATGATGGTAAGAAAAATGTAGTGTCCCTGCTGCGTCTGCTAGTTATTTCATTCACAGCGTCAGAAAATTTCCTCTTAATACTGATCTTTTAGAGGCTAAGCTATAACCATAAACTGTAGATAATTTCTTCTAACTTTAAAAGTTGTATTTGAATCATATCACTCTGAAGTTGGAGTAAAGTAAGCTGTGACAGGTTTAGGAGCTAACCAAACGACTGAAGCTCTAAGTCAGCTTGTCAACCCAAACTCTTTGAGATGATTTAGGACTTTCATAAGTTTTTCTTCATGGGTTTTGATGAACACTATTATATCCATTTAAATGATATTGGGGAGTCATCGAAATTGAATTTCCAGGTCGGTTCTTGGGCCAACTGAGCATTTGAGGATCTTTGGAAGGGTTCAGGATGATGTTTTTTTAATAGATGTTCTGATAAGCACTAAATTCTTCAATAGTGCATTTTCCAAGGATGACAATGTCACAGTCAGACTCATAATGAACAGCAGATTATGAGGCTGTAGGCAAGTAGGATGGCAATGGGTGCTTGATGACAGCAGATTTCTCATCTTGAAGGTAAATGTCTGAGCAACACCCTCCACAACCACAGCTCCAGCTTACGGGTGTTTTTGCCTTGCAGTTTCACCCTGTGGGAGTCTTAGTTTAAGAGTAGATGTCGAACAATAAATCTAAGGTGTTTGTGCCTATTACCATAAGGGACGGTGAGAAAAACCTTTGGAAAGGTGATGCTTATTCCTATATAGCCAAAGCAGGGCATGAGCTGGCCATTTTCACATTCCACCTTAAAAAGGTATTGAAGTAATCCTTAGTCAAGAAGGCAGCTAACGTCTTCTCTTCTCACGGTCACTTGAGCTGTATCCCCAACTGTTCGGGTAGTTGGAAAAGTTGGTTGTGCTGTAAGCCGTGATATGTTTGAGCTCTGATGTTCTCTATAGGTGCAGTGAATTTAATAACCTCCGTGGGCATCTTGTGTTATTTGTTTATGTCTGAGGGGACATTGTTAACTTTTCTCAGCTCCTGTTTGTTTGTCTGTTGCACCATATTGGGATTCCCATCTGTGCTGTTTTTCCTCGACCCTCTGTTTTGTTTCTGCCACTAGAAGGAGACTGGCATGGCTAGTGCAGTGTGGAATGATGTGCCCAATGGCACCAGGGTCTGGGTTTGTGTGTCTGTTTCTTTTTCTGTCTTCTGCATGTTTGTAACTGCGTCATTTGTTTTTGACATTCTGCTCTAAGGCTTCAGTATTGATCCTTTGCTGTTAAGCCCTTTTACATTTTTCTGTTTTTTGTGGGACAATTACCACAAGTGTTCAAGTGTTCGCATTTCTTGAATTTTATTCTGTATGATTTCATCTGGGTGGCCCTTGTGATACAACACTGATTCTTTTAGAGAGGGGGGGACAAGCATCCTTGCTGTGATAAAATTCTCCCACAGAATGTTATTCAGGGTATATTTAGTGTTAAAAAGTAAGGGCACAATGGAGAGTTGTCTTTGGTTTTATCCAAATCCTCAAATACTAAATGCAAATGACCCAAATCAGGAAATTCACAATTCCAACTGTAAGCACTGACGCATCTGTCTTAGGTAAAATAGATAGCCATTTACAAATTAAAAGGGTCAATATGTTATGGTCCCAATGGGACAAAACTGTAGAGCACAGGATATTACAATCGATTAACACTGAACAGTTCTCTTCTCTCATAAAACAAACTCCTTGACCTGAACATATCTTGGTTAAGTGTAACAAATTTCCTGGCCTTAAAATAAGCCGGAGCAAGAGCTAAGTTCTTGGCAGACATTTTTCTTGACTTATCAGCTGCATTTGACTAAGTCAACCATGTCAAACTTCTGGTCATACTCCTAATCACAGGAAAAGCACACTCCTGGTTTGAATCATACCTCTCTGGTCAGTCATTCAAAGTATCCTGGCTTGGTCACTCTTGTACAGTGCACCACCTCGCCAGAGGGGTCACCCTAGGTTCACTACTGGGACTTCCTGTTTTTGCCATACACACCACCTCATTGGGGCAGATTATCCGATAACATGGCTTCTCATACCACTGCTATGCTGAGGATACCCGGCTCTACTTGTCACACCTATCCTAATATTGCACCCAGCTCCTGGAGCAGTCTGTGCTCATCTCCTGCCTTGACTACAAAAGTTTCCTAATTGGACTTCCAGCCTGTATTGTGAAACCTCTACAGATGTCCCAGAACGTGGCAACGCATCTGGTCTTCAATCAGCCTAAAAAATCCCATGTCCCCCTTCTCGCCTTGTTTGTCGAGCTGCACTGGCTAACCTTAACCCCCCACATCCAGTTCAAGTCAATTATGTTAGCCCTACAAAGTGCCTAAGGGTACGGCCCCCATCTACTTGCACTCTGGCAAAGGCTTATGTCATAACTCAGTAAAGGACTGTCATTTAGCAGAGCCTAAACCACACTTGAAACAATCCAGACTCCTTTCATGTGTGGTTCCACAATGGTGGAATTAACTACTGAGCGCTACAAGACCAGGGGCATCCCTGTCTATCTTCAAGAAAAGAAAAACACCCAGCTCCTCAGAGAGCATCTCCTACCCAAACACAGTATGTACCTTCCCACCCCCTCTGCACTTTCTCTCTGTACTTCCCTCTATCTCTACCCTGTAACCTCTGTCTCCTCTAATAGAATGTGAGTACTGATTTCCTTCTATTAAGCTTATTATTCGTTTTTATGTTTGCTGTATCTGCATTGTAAGTCGCTTTGGATTAAAGTGTCAGCTAAATACGTAAACATGAAACAGAAAGCGCAGCTGGAAAACCAATAAACTAAACTACAGAGATAAAAAGGACTAACGAAAGTTCTAAAATAACCGAGCGGGGACAGGGACAATGAAAACAACACAATCATCTCTATTATGCAACCACACAATACAGAGAAAAACAACCCAATGTCCTTGATTAAAGACTTCATTTGTAGTGCCCGGTCTGTTAAGTGTAAAGCTTTTTAAGATTAAAAAGATGAAGCATCTGCTGTGATGAAGCACATACTTTTTTCCTTTTCATTCGTAAGAGACAATCATTTCAATGGCGCGTGATTAGAAAATTGATTTTCAGACAATCTGATTTAGTCTCCTAGATTTAGACCACTTTTTCCTCCCCACACTTCTTTTTTGCAGTCACAGATCGCAAATTACCCAAGGAGGCCTTCTCCATCAGTGCCACAGATGAAGCGGCCAACGCAGTGGAGGAGCAGGAGGATGAGGATGAGTGTGAGCTCTACCAGGGCCAGCTGTGCCAGCACACGTGCACCAACATCTGGGGCTCCTACCGCTGTGGCTGCCACCAGGGCTACATCCTTCAGCCGGACGGACACTCTTGTGCACCTGGTAACAAGCTACTATACTGTTACATTACTATGCATTACATTACTATCATATATCCTCTTTTGTGTGTGCATACTGTGTCGACATATTGTGTAGCTCATGGCAATCCCAATTTATTTTAATTCTGAGACCTGCAAAAACACTTGGCAGCAACAGTTAATGTAAGCTATGTCAACAAATAGATTTTGTCTAGTTACTTAGTATAAAGCATAGTATGGTGGTGTGGTAGTGTGGTGGTTAGCCCTGTCACTTCTCATGAAGTGGTTTTCTGGTTCGAATCCCTGGGGACTGGGGAGTTTGTATACTCACCTGTGTGTAAATGGGATCCACACTAAAAACATCTATGTTAGGTTAACTGAACATTCTAAATTGCCTCTAGGAGTAAATGTGTGTGGTTGTTTGCTTCCATGTGGCCTGTAATAAATAGGTCTCCTGTCAAGGACTTGAGCTCTTTAAAAAAAAAAAACCTTTAACACCTATTGCCTCAAATGTGTGACAGTTCACTTCCATACATAAGGCATCTAAAATAAAGTGTTTTTCTCCAGATGGTGGTTGATACATCTTAACCATTGGGGTACGTACCAATGAATATATTTGAACCTTTGGTTTGCTAATGGGAAATCAGGCCTTAATTGATGAAAGTATTTTGTGTAAAAATACAGCAGAAGAAATCTACTTTTGAGCTTGTTTATTTTGGAGAGATATAAGCATATAATGTGTTTGAGACATACGGTAAAGTATATTATTTTATGCTATGAGGTTTACCAGGGCGGTGGTGAGGTGGTTAGCATTATCACTTCACAGCTAAAAGGTTCCCGGTTCGAGGACCCAGGAACTTTCCGTGTGGAGTTCGCATGTTCTTCCTGTGTCTGCGTGGGTTCTCTACTCTGGCTTCCTCCCACCATCCAAAAACATGCATGTTGGGTTTATATGAAACTTCAAAATGCCTGGAGGAAGGATTGTGAGTGTGGTTGATTGTCTCTGTGTGGCTCTTTGATGAACTAGCAACCTCTCCAGGGTTGTATCCTGCATCCTGCCCGTTGTCAGATGGGTTCCAGTGACCCGCATGGATGGATGATGTCTACCCACTTTTAAAAGCCACATGCTGAATTGAATAACTTAACTTAATTTAATTAATTTTTTTAGAAATTGCTTACCAGTATGGTATCAATTCAGAAATGAACAAATGTACTGTATTAGAAATAATCTTCTTTGCACTTTTCCGTGCTATTTTCTTAATTCATTTTTGTTCTCCTTTGTGTGCCTAGATTTAGTTTTTTTTTTTTAAGTAAGTAATTTCCAAGCAGTACAGCGGGAGTATTCTTTTCCATGTAGTAAGGGATGCCAGAACCAGCATGGATTTTATAACCATACTTGCTTCAAAAACATTTTTAAATCCCTAATGCTTGTTACTTTGTTGCTCTGTAGTCAAGTGCAAGGACAAATACATCCAGCATTGGTCAAATTCTATCTTAGAATGCAACTGTTCTTCAAATCTTCTGCTATAAACATAAAATAGTGTTGTTGATCATCACATTCAGCTGAGATAACTTTCAATCTGCTTTGTCTCTGTTGTTGGCGAATAGTGAGTCCCGACGAGGAAAACAGTGTCAGAGACACCAACAGTCCCGCTATCAGCCCAACACAAACCTCTGCAACCACGGCAACCACAACCCCCACTGTCCGCCTGGATCCCTGTGCAGGTAATGAAAAAAACAAGCACCATCATGTATTTGTCTTCACTGTGAACAATCAAAGTTTCATACCACCAGCGCACACTGTACACATTTGACATTTAAACAAACCTAGAAATACATTCTGCAGATTTAATCTTTATAAGAACTGGAGTTTGAATCTTCCATGGCTAATAATAGACATTTTGGATATGTTATTTATGCGGTATGGTATGTTAATGGTGAACTAATGAAAACTAAATTGAGGCTGCAGTAATAAGTTTTCATCACAAACTACTTTCAGAGTACAGTACAGTAATACAGAGAAATGCTGTAAAACAGCATCACTTCTGTAAAGTTTTTTAAGGTGCTCTAAGTGTTGGCTGTTTTCTATTTTGGAAATCTTTCCACAAATCTGCAGAGTTATGTTTTATCCCTGTCCTCTGTGTACTCACATGATGGCTGCCTGGAGGTTAGAACATCTAGTTGCACATCCAATTTTTGCTCCAAAAATGTGATTTTCCTTATAGCATTTATTTCTGAACATGAAACTTTTTAACTTTAAAGTAACATTTACTTTGAATTTTCCTTACATTAGTCAAGATGAAAAGGCTCCGGCTCCCCCGTGACTCCACTGGGAATAAGTGGTATAGATGATAGATGGATGGATACTCTAGATAACAGTTACATGTAAGCAAATATTTGTGTATGGTACTGTGCCTTAAAAAAGAACACCCTGTGGCTATTTTCCCCTTTTTCATGTATTCGTTTAATTTTAACAAACATTCAAATTGATATGGATGTGATATAATATTTTGTTATATTTTGAAAAATAGAATAGTGTGCATAGAAAACTATTATTTTCTCTAAAACCTAGAGACAAGATGAAGTTCCATAATTAGTTAATTTTGTAATTAGTTCATTTATATGATCTCAGAATCTGACTGTGCGTATGTATTGTCTCAACTTCATCCAGCAGGGTTAGTAATTCTGTCCCTGTGTTTGTGAAGGAATCAAATTATGTTTGATCTGAGTGAGAAGGGAGAGAAAACTCTGCAAGCACCATCTAGTTGCAACTGAAAGTTGCAGTAAAGCAGAAATATATCTTCTGAGTTTGTTACATCAAAGAGAATGTGAAAGCATCTAATTAAACATAATGGAGTAAAATATTCATCAAATAGCAAAGATAAGGTCTCAAGATTATAAGAAAACGAATGATGTCCACTGAACAGGCACAATGACTGTTCACAGGACATACCATTAACAGATCTAAAATTAGCTTGAACCACCGAAAATACTTTTATCTCATTATTTTATTCTCAGTTTAAGTAAGCACCCCTAAATTGTTCAAATTTTGGATCTGAGAAGGTTTCATGTTGATAATAAGGGCAGATCCTGCCTATTAAGAACAGTAAAGTGATCAGGCTAGTAGGTTTTTTGCTTGTTTTAGATACAGGCCATTTTGGCCGGGATTTGCTTTGACCTTAGATTAAATCAATTTAAAAACTAAAAGTCCAACTCCAAAACAGAATTTTAAATACTTTAAATGTTTTTTAGTATACTTGTTCCTGTCAGATATAGCATGTTTCCCTATAAGTATTTGTATATGCCTTTCCAGACGTTAAAATGTTTATATTTGCCTCAGTCTGAAACAATTGCTAAGTTTTTAATGAATGTTTGTGACATGTTTTGGTGAAGTCAGAGAGCAGCAGCAAAACAGCATCTGCTTTCTTTTCCACCAATTTACGTCTCTAAACAAGCACATCTCTTGAGGATATGAAGTGACCTATTAAACTTCACGCCAGCCCTTCCTTTGTAAAGTGAAGGTTCCATTGTGTTTCTGAACGCCTCACTGAGTTACACATTTTTAGATGTGGTCCCCAAAACACCAGCAGTGACTGCAGACACACAAAAAACCTCTCATATTTATTTCCATCATTTGTGAAGTTAAACTATTTTTAGATCTTTTTGTTCTTGTTTTAACACTTAGTGTAGATCTGTTTCTATGCTAATACTGTCTGCTTCTGATGTGTAATGAAGCCCAGAAAGACAGCATCTGCTCAGCACACTGATTTAGCTTTTTCTGAAACAAAAAATAGAATTTGCACAGAAACCAAACCTGCAGGCTGAGGTGATGGAATGTGTCCGTGCGCTGCCTGACTGCCTGTTTAAAGGCCTCACTCTTGAAGTGAAAAGGGGACAGTTTTTGCACAGCGTGGGATCTCACTGATAAGAGATTCAATCACAGCTTAACTCCTATGTTGCTGCAATGTCACAAGCTGAATCTTAATCAGATCTAAAAAAAATCTGATCTCTGAGCTTCACATTTCCAGTTCCTTCTATACATGTACAAGATCCCGCTCGTTCAAACTTTTCTCAGATTGTTAATCACAAGAATCTCCAAATTTAGCAAAACCTCATATCAGGAGAGCTTTACATGTGAATATGTTGGTAAGAGATCTATTTCTCCTTTTCATTGGATGTTGTCTCTTAAATGGGGAGAACTGATTCTGTTGTGCAACTGCAATGGCTGAGATGCTTCATACAGCAGGAAATTATCAAAGCAAAAAGAGTAAAACTGAGGTCTTGAAGTCGAGGGTATTTTAAGGTGCAACTCAAAATGGCAAGACAACAGAGAAAATACACCAGGGAAATCATTAAAAAATTCAATCAGCAGTAATACTATTTAGAGTGAATGCCTGTGAGGGAGTTGTAGCTGTGTGGACTCTGGAGATGACAGGGATGATGCTGCTTTTTTCTTTCAGGAAATGGTGGCTGCAGTCAGCAGTGTACAGCCGTGATAGGCCGGGCTCACTGCTCCTGCTTCCCAGGGTTCTCACTGATGACAGATGGGCGTACGTGTGAGGGTAAGGGCCACCACTTGTCACATTATCACTGGTAGTAATACTGTAGGCACTGTTAATGAAGCTTATGTATAACCCAAAGCTTTCTCCATCAATACGGGTTTGTGCAAAGTAACCTGACATGATCCAAATATGAGTACAGACATGTTAGGCAAATTAAAGATAGCCATAATCCAGATTTTTTATATACATATACTGTATGTTAAATCAAGTCACTTATGAAGAAAGGCAGGTCTTGTTATAGAGACAAAGACATCAACAAAATACTTGTAATGATGGTCTTTCTACAGCCTGGTGGTAGATAAGGAGTCCAAAAGGCCATTATTCTGTGGCAGATTGAATAATAAAAAACAACATATGGTATCTGTTCACTTAGCGGCCTCCTCTCAAAGGTCCGGGGGGATCTTTGACAAAAAGGTCAGAGGTCACAATAGCAATTACTATATAACTTGTAATGACTGAAAAT